TCAGTTCAAAAGTATTGTAATTCGACAAAAACATATCCTGTTGCACGTGTTGGGACTGTAGATAAAACGTTGTGTCTGTTTAATGTTTAGATAAATCTTTAACAAAACAAATACAGATTGTCCTTTTAGGTGAACATAACACAAGGGGTTGTTTCACAAAGTAATATGAGCACAACAGCTGTTGAGGTGGAATCTGATATTCTATAGTGCTAGCGGTTCCTGATACGGGCCCAGGATATGATCGGTTTAGAGAATAGATGCTGATATCACGGCATGCACTTTAAACATTTTACACATAACCAGGAGGTCTGTATGGACTAGTTCTGTCTGCACCCTACCCGTGTAATTGGCTTTACAATAGTGGTGGAAATATGTAAACGGTCTTTCCTTTCTGAAGCCAGTACGCTGTAATCTATTTTACCTAACTTGATAGGGCTGACGATATTTGGTGTCGCTAACTTGTATTATACGTTTTAGTCTTGAGGTTAACATAGTTAGTCACACACAATGTCAGATAACCAATGGTCAAAACTACCACGTCACATTCACAGGCAACGACACCTTGGTAATGTTAGACTGACGGGACACTGCATTAGCTGACCTAGTATTAGATATGTAGTTGACTTTGGGTTGTTTGGCTGTGAGAAAACAGTCCATACTCTGCAGGGCACATGTTCTTGGTTGATCCCGGGTTTATGACGGAATTCCGGAAGTCATGGAACATATGAATCTCCATGATGACTTAAAACATACACCAGTTAAACCGGATATAGATGACTATGTCTGAATGAATTTAAAATGAATCTTTTACAAAACAAATAAGAGATTGACTTTTTGGATGAACGTAACACAATGGCTTGAAAACGAAGACCACTTTTCTTTGAGAATAAAACCAACATTGTTTCCATGAAAACGTTAGAAAATACCACTTAGAAATCTTTTAAAATAATAAAAGGCACAAGTTGAGCTGATGACCAGTTCGTATGTCAAGTTCCGTTCACAAACACTGAAGGGTTTTGTAGTTAGGGCTCAGAATAGGATACTAACGCCAACGACAACTCCAGTATACATGTACCAAGAAAACAACACATTGATCATTTGTTCACCTGAATGAAATACAAAACATCGAGATAATCATCGTTGCATATTGCAGTATCAAATCGTCACGATATATCGCTCTATGCAGTCCACATACCAATATCGTGATAAACCGTTGTCATGGAAATAATCGCTTGATACAATTGTCATACAAATGTCGCGTGACAAAATATCTTATTGATTAACCACTTCCCAAAACACTGGAGGTGAGGTGAGGTGAGGTGAAATGGGGTTTAACGTCGCTCTTAATAATGTTTCGCTCATATGACGACAAGCATGTACTAGCTGGGTTTTTTAGTGCTAGCCCACTGAGATACCATGCCGCAGTGAAGCATGAATACCGCACTCAGACACATTATACTGACTCCGAGCCGACCAGTCCTTGTTGTACCCATTAATGCCGAGCGCCAGACAGGGACCAACAAGTACCATATTTTAACTTCTTTTGGCATGACACGGCCCGGGATGGAACCCGCGACCTTGCGCTCTCCGGGCGGACGCTCTAACCATTACACCATGGAGGCGGTCCAAAAACACTGGAATATGGAGTCGTCGTATAAACTATCACTGTGCATGGCCTCCCTGTGTCACCCGTCAGTATCCGGGTTAGAATTCCATGCATCCCATGCTTGTCGTAGGAGGTCGGGTCGGGTGGTCAGGTTCGCCGACTTGGTTGACACATACCATCGTATCCCAATTACGTAGATCGATGCCATATAGAAGGAATATTGCTGATTGCGGCATTAAACAACAAACAAAACCTGTGTCAGCAATAAACGAAAACAAGAGGTGTTTTACTTGTTGTTTGTTGTTTATCGTATACCATGAGAGATGTACATACAGACCACTAGAGCTATGCATAAAACCCAAAGTGAAAACAATAAATAATTCGGTGACCCGTTATCTTCCATGTACATGTATATATAAACATACCTGTGCTGTTTCATGGAGAGTCCTCCTGTCTCAAAAGATCTTCCTGCTCACGAAGAACATAAACTTTAGATTAATATTCTGCTGTATGAAATAAAGCACTGCAGTGACAAGAATAACGACATCTGACAAAGTACCTCTGACGTACACCTCAAAGTTGTAGGTTTGCCAGCCACTGAACTGGCCCTGACCCTCAGTTCCCGTCTGAGCCCGTGTGGGGTGACATAGCAGCAGTTGACTTCCTTGGGTGAGCCAGGGGCAAGGACAGCCCCAGATACAGCACCATCACCTTCGTCAATATCAATAGCAATGTAGTCGTAGGTGTCGCTGGCGTCAGTCTGATCCCTGGTGGCTGACATAGATGTGGACTGTCTTGGAGTGACCTGGAGGCAACAACAGACCCAGACTCAGCACCAGTATCTACGTCATCGCCGACAGTGATGTGTTCGTAGGTGTCACTGGCGCCGTCTGATCCCTTTGGGCTGACATAGATGTGGACTCTCTTGTGACCCAGGGGCAACAACAGCGACAGACCCAGCACCAACACCGGTGGCGATGTGTTTGTGGATGCCAGCTGCCTCAGCCGACAAAACACGTGGTGTACTAAGATATCCTCAAAGATTAAACTGGTGCATAGAATACCACTATTCCCCATTAAACTAACAATACATTGACACTTTATGATGATATATATATACTATTCCCCCAAAATGTATAACCCAGAAATCTGTTGTGAGAATGTAGTATATTCAAACATGTATAACTCGTCCACAAATAGACTTTAAGACATGCTTTTTGCATCAGTTTAGAAGAAGGTAATGTCTGTACAACCAAGAGAATGATTTTAGATAACGGAGATGTTGAGCGCGATGGTGACTGCGTAACACGGTCCCGACGTCGGGTCTCCTGGCTGTCTCTCTCTCAGTTTGACCGGATATCCTCCCAAGTCCAGGCACCCTGGCTGCTGTGCTCTCACCCGTGGCAGTACGATCACGCAAATGTAGTACCCGGATGTACCGATCTTGGGCTGCAGTGGTGACTCGAGGTCTGCCTGTACGGGGACGCTCATTTGATGTACTTGTTTGGTTGTAACGAGCGGCAAGCAGTGATATCTTGTTCAGACTAACATTCGGACGCCTGGCAACAGAAAATTGGTAATCTCCAGCGTGCATTCTTTCAATGGTGATGTTCCGTGTCGCAGCGTCTAGACGTGACGTAGTGATTTGACCTTGAAACTCCTTCAAAACGAATGCCGATTTCCGAAAGTAATCTGGATTTTTATAGCCAGACAGTGCATGCATGCTCTTTGCTGCACAATTTCAACTGGAAGGTGATTTCTGTTGCGTTGTGGCGATTCCTTTTGATTCTTGTAAGAAATCTCATCAAAATCAACATTTTCAGGTAAAGTCGATTTTTCACTTGTGCAATAGTGTAAAATCATGCTATCAACATTTTGTTACATGTTTTGACGATTGTTTGAACACGATTGGTAATTAATCGATTTTAAAAATACAAAACGCCTATGCGTTTCTTTTTGGGGATAGTATATTTACATGCTAGTTGTTACAATCGGGTTCTTTTGTTGAATTTCGTTGCGAAAGCCTAATCTATCATTCCTTCTCGAAAGTTCCACATCTGTGGGGAAAGCGGGTAGCATCAATGATAAACTTAAACCGACATTTTCGGGTGAGAAAGTGAGTTATTATGGTTTTAAACCGCTGTTAGCAATATTCCAGCAATATCACGGGGGAATACCGGAATTGGCTTCACACAATGTACCCATGTGCGGAATCGAACCCGGGTGTTCCACGTGACGAGCGAACGGTTTTACCACGACGCCCCAAAGACCCAGGTTCTGATTCCCCACATGGTTACATTGTGTGAAGCCCATTTCTTGTGTACCGCGCCGTGATATTGTGGGAATGGGTGACAAGCTGGGTGTGTGTGTCTGTGGTGGGGAAGGGGTGAAATTAGAGGGTTGGGAGGGAGAGGAGTCTTTCGTGAAATTACGTGGTAAGAATGAATGGACGTCATACAGTAAATACGCCATGAAGAATGTGCACTCAATATCTGATCTATGTTTGCTGAGAGTTGGCTTCACATAGTTCCATCATGTTGGGAATTAGCAGAGTAGAGTTGCCTCCCTTCAACCTAGAGCTGCGACTTCCATTTATGACTTTCACCACAGAGGTAAACACCCACAGACATCACCTTTGTGTCACAATAACCTGACACTGCATATACTGTGAACTACATTGCTAATATTTATGATTTGTGCATCCATACGATATCACCCTGGGCATAAAAGTGACATCCACGTTCCTGCATATTGCTGCACTGGATGCTCTGCTTGGCGTGCTTATCATACGTGTACATAGAACTTGTGTAACAATGAAGTTCACTCAATGTACTCAAAACAGCGACGACTCTCACTATTGCAGGCCAATTGCACTACTCCATTCTTGTCAGCCACGTCCTATGGTATAAGTCCCCGTCGTCATTCACTTTGTTTCTCACGTCTGGCGTAAATGTTTAATCTAAGGATGGGCTCTAATATGGTTTGATGTGGTGAATGTATTAACTGTTATGTAATATGTACATGTAGCAATGGAAGTGTAACAAAGAGAAATGGCCAGGTGAGTTGGTCAAACGGATAATACGTTGATTGATTAATCCCTGTCATCCTACACTGTAGATGTGTAAAACAGTTTCATATATGCAGTTTTACTAAAACAGACGTGAATACACCCACATCTCGGCGCCTGTGTAAAAGCAAAATACTTTGTTCAAATAATTAGCCGATAGTGTGTTGAGTGATGATTTATTGATATCTAACTCAACTGATGTTTTAATGAACCTTGGAAAAATTAACATAAATAGCACATATGCTATCTAACCTGACCAGTGAGACGTGCTCAAACCATCAGGTGAGAGACAAACTCGAGTTATATAATATCCAGAGACGCTTTAAATATGTTTAAATACTTCATTGTTACAAAGAGTAACGTGTTACATTTGGGTTTACACTTTCTCAGTAAAGTTCAGATTCTAGTACGTTTGGGAGTTGAGTACAGTTTGGGAGTTTGGGAGTTATTTATAACCTACACTCTCTCAGAGTCAGTAACACAAATCCTAAATATAACGTGTTACTTTTGACCACTTTCTAAATGGTATTGTGTATTCATAGTTTTCGGCGGTGAGAGTCGTGTAGTCTAGACTACCAGTTGTCCGACTTCCATTTCTGTGGAAGCCGCTGTGGCTGTGCGGGTTAGGCGGGTGACATTGTGTGCTGGCGAGTAGGTGCCTGACTCTGAGGGTGTGGTTCGAGCTCCGGATGGGACTAGAATCTGTACTTTACTGAGAACGTGTAGACCCAAATATGACATGTGTTACTTCTGTAAGTGACATTAAGAAGCTGGTATGACGAGGAACGCTTTTATGTATAGACTTCTTTGGTGCAATGAGTGCGGCGTAAAACTAAACTCACTCACTCTGTGTTGCAATAGATGCGACGTTCCTCTTCATAACCTGTGTTACATTGGAGCACTGGAACGGGAGGCATGCTGCGATACATGGAGACATCGATCGTGCTATAACTCCCCGGTAAACTGCATTCCAGCCCATAGTAGTACAGAGTTATAGCGTTATGAAATCTCTGTAGCCGGTGACATAGTGGTTGTGAACGATTGTTCATACCAAAGCAAATTTCTTACACCGCTGTAAAGCTAAAAGTGACCAGGTGATGAGAAATATATATACATAGTCGCAGAGGTTAACAACAACAACAACAACAACAACAACAATAACAACAACGGGTAATTGATGTCTAATTAGACAGGTAACATACTGGCGTGGATAGAATTTAACATTTCTAGAGTGAGTGGGTTTAGTTTTATGCCGCATTTAGCAATATTCCAGCAGTATCACGGCAGGCGACACTAGAAATGGCTTCACACATTTGTACCCATGTGGGGAATCGGAGGCTTAACCACCAGACTACCCCACCGCCCCAACATTTTTAGAAATCACGACAGGGACAAAATAAGGTTTCTCTTTGTGAAATACATTCTTTGGATTTTCAAATTAATTCTTTATAAAATATTGTTACCCGGCTCGTTATGGGATAACAAGTTTAAATCCTTAAAATAGAATGTAGAATTCCTTAAGTCAATGATCAGTCAAGGAGATGTTTCATCATTTATTGTGAGGTCAAGTGTGCCGATCGGAAATCACTGACCTCTTTTTATAGCCGAAAACATCACTGATCAATGTTGGAATTCTTTGCGATTGGCCAAAACATATAATACGGTAATTACGATTTTGGTTGGTTGACATAGATCAAACAGTTACTGATTGGACAAGCCGAAACGAGTTTTGGAAGGGTAGTCACGTGACCGTGACAGGATAATTGGCGTCAATTAGGTCAGATTTATTGCAGTTTGTTTCTACAGTTGTGGCCTGGACATCTGCACGGTGGTCATTAAGACATTTACTGGTGCAATAAACAATGGATTGAGTTTTAAGTTGACACTTTCAATGGTATATGGCTTATGTTAATTATCTTTGCGAAGTGCGTTACATCAGCAGGAGCCATGACATGAAGTGACGTTTCAATATTACAACTCTTCAAAATGAAAGTGAAATTTGTGGCAAATATATATAAAATACATACATTCAGAAAAATATACAAATATGAAGAATATAATGATAAATTGTGCACTGTCACAATATATATATTAAATATGTAAGGGGCTGTGACTACTAACACTGTGTTGTTAAAGCATCAACACACTTATAATTAGGGAAGCGTTCAGTGCTGCGATACCAAGCGAAAATACATCACACATTACTTCGGTCTTATATACATCATAAACATCACACTATTGCTTATGATAAGTTAAAATATCACATTCCTTAGAAATAGAAATCTGGTAACCATAAGAATATTTCAAACTTCAAAACACATTAACCATTCATAAATAGGTAATAATTCACTGCGAATGGGTCCGCTATTTACAAACGCAAATCTATAATGAATTGCAAAAGTGATATTCCATTTAAAATAAATTTATCAGTAACTCAGATTAATTCTGATCCAAATAACACACACCCTCTATTTTAACATATACAGTATCATAGTTAAACACTCGTGACATGTGTTGCAGTTCATATTTCTCTTTATTCTTTTGCTATAACCTTTGTAATTACCACTAAGAGTTAAACATTCATCATTACTGCAATACTAGCATCTGTTGCATATTACATTCTTGTGCAATATCCCCGAGACCTTCAGACAATCAACGTACTGCCTGGGTTCATTAGCGTCTGTGTTGTACATGCAGAGTGTCATGCTGATGATGAAGACTTTTCTACCGATTGTAGTCGTTGAAGGATCCTGTAACGTTGTGGCCTGATATCAGTTCTCCTGTCATATCTGCATATAGTCGGGATTACAAACACACATCATGACCCACATGGGTCTGTCAAAATCTACATCAGTGACAGTGGTGTACACTGTGTTATCAGCAGCATTGATAACTGACAGTTTGTTGTTAGCTCCATTCAGTACAAAAAACACAGTCGTAGGTCATAAGACTGGCCAACTCTGATCTGGGTGAGTGGGGTGTCCCTGAGGTAGGTGCCATTATAGGCAACCCAGAGACACAGCTGCTGCTTGTGGTTGAGGCACATAACAACACCTACACTCAGTCCAGTGTATTGACTGTTGTAAGCATCTACAGGGGTGGGGTCAGAGCAGTCTCTAGTATCATACACTTGTCTGGTATAGTTTTTTCACAGAGAACCCAAGGTTTACTTGATAGATGCACTGTTGACCGGGGCTGTTTCGAACCACCAGAGGTCTGGACGCCAGAACTGATCTGATTTGTTGTATCCGACATCCTGTATCAGGAGAAGGGGTGGTTGGTGGAGTGTTGGTGACTACCCGCCTAGATACGCTTATACCACGCCGAGCTGTTCCTGGGTCCCATTCCAGCATAGGGTCTGTGTGAAGAATAACATTCATAATTGATACAAACCATTTCCATTGCAGTGAAAGAGAATTTATTGACATCATAGAAACAAAAAGATATGGAGATAAAACAAATGTATGTAGCTGTACAATAACCTTTAAATAAACCCCGGTACAGGATCCAAACAGCGAACTGTACCTTTGAGAGCGATCTGAGAGCGGAAGATTAGCGGTTTGGACCCTGGTCATGTAATACAACAAGCACGTTAAAACATTGTACTTGTCGTCAACTTGGTCAGTCAGTCATTCAGTCACTCTTCCACTCACCCACTCACCCACCCACTCACCCACTCACCCACTCACCCGCTCAACCACTCACCCACCCACCCACGTCCGTCCGTCCGTCCGTCCGTCCGTCAGTCAGTCAGTCAGTCAGTCAGTGCGTACGTCCGTCAGTCAGTCAGTCAGTCAGTCCGTCCGTCCGTCAGTCAGTCAATCCATCCGTCAGTCCGCTCCGTCAGTGCGTACGTCCGTCCGTCAGTCAGTCCATCCGTCCGTACGTCCGTCAGTCCGTCAGTCAGTCAGTCAGTCAGTCAGTCAGTCAGTCAGTCAGTCCGTACGTCCGTCACTCACTCACTCACTCACTCACTCACTTTTACACACGCCATCTTAGTTGAAGTGTTTGATATTCACTTGATTTATGCATCGCGCTACTCAGACGTCGCGAGGGTGTGAGAAACGTTGCAGTCGGACACGATCTCTTAGATTCGGTGTTACTACAACAGAGAACATCATGTATATTGTTGGAAGGAGGCCTAAGGGAGTTTTCACAACATCAAGTTTATGTTGGATACAAAAGATATTTCGGCTATCAATGGCAATCAGTATCTATTCAACCAGTGTTGTTTGCCATTGCTACGTTCGGTTTTCCATCTAGTAAACGTGTCTACAGACCACAAACCAATGACACTTATTGTAATGAGTTTGTTCCCTGTTATTTCTGATCGGTATATATATATTTTTTTAACACAACAAATAACTTTCAATTTTCGATTTCTTTCAACCTATGAAACTTTCACTCTCTTGAGTCGGTGGGAATGGGTGAATGAACTTTATACCACGAAAATGGGAAATCAAAGTTATTCACATACTTTCTGGTGAACCTGACTGTGGGATATTAGTTACTGTCACAGTTTAAGTATGTTATTACAGATGAATTTTCAGTAAGAAATGACCGACGCATACACTGACTAAACTAAATGGTGATCATCTGCATGGATGCTGGAGTTTTGTTTGTCTAACATTCCCACGTTATTTTCAAAGGCTATATTACAGTAAGGTGTTTACATTGTGTATTCGTCAAATTTTCCCAATCGAATCAATTTATCATTTTCGGATATATGTATTTCCCTTCTAAACGAGAGGCAGAAATATACGTGTTGCTCGCGCTACAACGGCACGATGACTGCTGGTCGGCACTGTTGATTCAGATTTCGATCACCATGACACACTATCTATATTGAAATTGACTTAGTCTCTGTTCAGGAAATGTAGGACTACAAACAAAATTTCTTCCGCAAATGAGAAAAATTAAATGGTGATCGGAAACTGAACGAATCTGGTTACAATGTTATTGCAGCCGTAACTCTGTTCCGCGAGTAAGACGGGAATCTCATTACAGTAGCTTTTAAGAAATCAGTTCCCCAATGCAGGGCCGATAAAGTATTACAACGCTGGGCGGCTGCAAGTCCGATAAAGTATGGCGACGTTGGTCCAATGCGGGGCCAATAACGTATGCTGACGTTAGGCAGACGCAGGGCCTATAAAGTATGCCGACCTTGGTCCGATGCGGGGCCAATAACGTATGCCGACGTTAGGCCGATGCAAGTCCGATAAAGTATGGCGACGTTGGTCCGATGTAGGGGCCAATGAAGTATGCCGACCTTGGTCCGATACAGGGCCGATAACGTATGCCGGCGTTGGGCCGATGCAGGGCCGATAAAGTATGCGGACGTTGGGCCGATGCAGGGCCGATAAAGTATGCCGACGTTGGGCCGATACAGGGCCGATAAAGTATGCCGACGTTGGGCCGATGCAGGGCCAATAAAGTATGCCGACCTTGGTCTGATGTAGTAGGGCCGATAACGTATGCCGACGTTGGTCCGATGTAGGGCCGATAAAGTATGGTCAGGTTCGGCCAATGTACAGGGCCGATAACGTATGCCGACATTGGTTCGATGTAGGTCTTTGGACCCACCCAGTCTGACGACCAACCCTAACCACTCACACACTCACGCACCCAACCAACCACACAAAACCAACACACTCACTTACTCAAGGACTCAAAACTAAAAGAAAGACAGGTCGACAGTATGCTGTGACTCAGTGAATCACATGAGCAAGTTATGGACTATTTTTTTACTCCTTACCTGTAGGTAACTCTGCTGGATCCAGTACGATGGCATTGTATGCTATAGAATCTGGCACTTTTGTCGGCCTGTCTGTTGGGGAGAACGTGACTGACCTGACCATTCCAGCTGCTTTGATACTATCACGAAGATGATGTATGTTTGCCTCCACAAAGTTCACACCAGTCCTGACAAATGATACCTCTTGTGGCGTCTCCTCCAACATGGTGCTCAAAGAGGTAAGTGAAGAACCCATCACATGAAGCTCCTCTACCGTGTCAGCTTTACTTCTCATTAGTTTTGTGTATTCAGAAGAAGATTTTACTCTAGTCTGCAAAACTCTTGTTGATTCCAGTGCATCCTTTGTCAGCTGAAGATTCTGAGCAGATTTATGTTCAACATCTGACAAGAGGACTGCCCTCCGTTGCTTCAGCTCATTGGTCAGATCGTCAAAAGTTTTATTGATATCATCTATGGCAACCCTCTTGGACATTTCAATGTTCTTCAGCTTCTTCATTAGTTCTGCTTCTGTTTTTGTCCAGTGTCTCTGACTTCACATACATCTTTGCGAAAACGTCTTCTATGGATTTGCGACAGTTCTTGGTGTGCCTCATCCACAGACACAACATTATGTCCCTTCCTTTATCGTGATCTACTACAGTGCATGACACACAGACGGCCTTGGCACAAGTGTGGCAGTAAAACTGTAGAGGCTGCTGGTGTTGACTACACTGATGTCGACGACGGAAACTCTGCACAGGTTGCCCCTTCATCTCATCAAAGGTAACTATTGTGTGTGTCTTTGTTGCTACATTCCTCCTGTGGGCGTTCAGACAGAGTGAACAGAGAAATACCCCACAGTTGTCACACTGGGCTTGAGCTGTTTCCTTGTCAGGACAGTCTGTACATGGAAGATGAAGACCTTTCTGGATCTTGAGGTAGTCCAGAGTCTTCAGGATGACCGTCTCTTTGGGCAGGGATTTCACTCCACCGGGCGGGTTATGTTTGTGTCGACACATGGGGCGGGATATGGTTGTCTTGCCTCCACTGCAGGTTTCAGACAGGGCTGACATATGGACTGGACACAGCATGGCATACGACGAGGAATTCGCATTGAGTCATCAAAGTGTTCTGTGCATATTGGACACTCTGTCAGAAGATCCTTGATTGCAGCCACTGAGACAAGATCCGACATGTTTGTCTGGCAAAGGACATAATGATCATTATTATGAGGCATTGCTGTTCCCTGTCATATACATTGTACTTGTTGACATGTGGTAAGGGGCTTTGGTGTGCTCTATATTTAGACTTGTGCTAAATTTAGACAGAGTTCTGGAATGTACTACAACCCTCCTCTGGTGCAGAGAACATAAGAGAAAGATCTGGTATAATTTTTATAGGTATATAAGGTGATGCCTTGCATCTCACATAACATCTCAAAGTTGCAAGATATTGTGAGAAGATCATATCTTAACCTGGATATTCAGCCTCATTAGATACTGGGCCATTGATGCAGTGAGGTGAAT